CAACTAATTCAGGATTCTATGTATTCAAATATTATTACATTAAACAATGTTATAACTGTTATTGATAATCAATCAATAGTTATGTTTTTAACCATGAAACAACTATTAGTTATATTATTGGTTCATAAATTGTAATTCAGGTTGTATCATGTCGAATCAACTTACGGTTTTTGGCTTATTTCATTATAACATAAATTTTAATACACGTAACTGCCAAATTTTGAATTTTAATTAATATAATTTCTAAGTTTTCGAAAATTATCCATTGAAAAATTAAATTTATCACTATCATAACACTTTTTCTAAGTTGACATTTTTTTCTTAATGGTAAAATTGGCTTACATGATACATCTTTCATTGTATACCTGAAAACTGTAGGTTTTTCTAAAAATGTTGACTTTACTCATAATAAGTATATAATTTGATTATAATACATCTTATAGTATATTACATGCTGAAAACTTTTTGAACTGATTATTGAGCATTCTGTAGCTCGATATATAAACTATATAACTATTATCAGTAGCTCTTTATTATTTCCACTATCTGATGTAAATGTTTTCATTCGATGTTTTACGTCAATTCAAATAAATTATCAGGGACGTTCTTTTTATGTTTCAAGATTTTTCGTTTAAAATGTTCACTATGTTATATAGCGTACCAATACTATAATTATAAAATCTTTTCGGATTCATTCGTCGTTCCAGTAATTTGTATAACAAAAACTTCTAAGGTTGAAAATCTAAATTTCGAAACTAAGAAATTCTCAAATTTGTTGCATGTGCACATAGGACATATATGCACATATAACAAAAAAAACCCTATCCAACGATATTGTTACTTTTTTTTTCCATTACATTCTGACTTATGTAAACCAATCATAATTAAAAAATATAATAATACTTATATAAGATTAATCGTGTAATTACGATAGAATTGACAACGAATACCATCTCGCTTTTGTAAAGAGACTCAATCTCGGTCTTTGAGAAATTAGAATGATGACGTTATTTTAAATGAAATATGTTAATCTTATGAGCTCGCTCTGAATATTTCTTCTTTATACATAATCTCATTATATAGACACTGCTATCAGTAGATTCAATTAAAGGCACTGTGGCTAAAATCAACATTTCGGCACGAATATATGATTACGGCCGATCCCTCCACCACTATACTCTGTACCATTATTTACAACAAAAACAGTAGCTTATTCCGTTAATTCTGCGAAGAAAATGTTTTGATTAATTCTTTCATTTGACAATGAATAATTATTTATTTTTTAAATGGGAGACAATGCATGCCAATATCATGTTCAACTATACGATTTACCTAACGATATAATTTCATAAATCATAATTATTTTAATATTTTGGTTAGAAAAAATTATACAATTTAAAATTAAAAAATTTAGTCACATTTAATGGTAATTTCAAAATATTGTGCTGCTGATAAATAAACAATCCCTATTTATAAATTATTTGGTTTTAGACAGTAATGAGTTAAATTGTATGCTAAAAAAATTAATTTTACACGACTTAACAATGAGACAAATATTTTCCTGAAAGTCCCAGCCACACCAAATAATTTCATCTTTTATTACATTTTCTTCATATAGTTCTAAAAAAGTAACAGATCTAAACTACTAAAAATCTAAAGTTTTTGTATGAAGATATGTGTTTTATATAACACATATGACCAAATCAGGATGTTAAACTTAAATTGTTCAACATTATTAATATCATTTTTACTTATTGAAATTATATACTTATATTTAGTTATATATAATTTTATATTTTTCATAACATATTTAAATATAAATGAACGGTTGAAAACACCATTTCCCGGATGGTTAGCGTCTACATATTTTACTTATAATTATGATACTAACGCAATAGTTAGTTTCAATAAAAGTTGTCAGACGGATTAAAATAAAATAAAATCCACATTATCTTAATTTAAAGGCTCAACTTTAATTTTGAGTTTTTTTTTTTAATTCAAATACAAAACCAATTGATTTAATGTTATTTAAATTATCAGCTTTTCGAGTGAACTTTTTCGACTCTTTTTAAGGAGCTTTTCATACATCGGCCCATGAAGATGTATAATGTACATAAGATATAAAAAGTTTTGTTTAATCATTGCAATTACAGTCTTATTATATATCAGTACAATACTATGAAGTTAAATGATTGTTCTTCGTAGGCAGAATGATCAAATGCGTGATGATCAAATTGAGTGTCTAACGAAATTATCAAGAAAAAATCCCTTGAAACAGATGTCTGACTTTTTACTAAATTTACACTTTGCTCAAAGAAAATGTTAATAACGACAATCACGATCCTATAACTACCATACTGACAAGTTTAAAGTAACTATAAATCCATTATAAATATCCCTAACATGTCTGAAAAATGCAATTTATGTCCATACAAAATCTAAAAACTTCAAATTTAAAAAGCAAATACACGAAGTATATACTCTTCTGAAATATCATTGCCGAGGCCGTGGATTCAGTGTTGAATGGTTGTGATCATTTGATATGAAAAAAGTTGGTTTGAAATCTATCTAAATCTAATTTGATTAAGTCAACAAAGTGTAGAAGTCACGCAATGTCAAAACCATACCACTTACTATAAATATTACTATAGGACATATTTCTTTTGAAAAGCAATAAATAGAAAATAATTTCATTAAGTTCATTTGGTCTTTAATATCTCAAATACGTCATGTTAGTATGGTTGTCCTCGAAAATAGTTACTTAGTATAAAACAAGGGCGTATTTGAGTTGAGACCATGGGGGGGGGGGCGAAATTAATTTTTCTTTTATACAAACTTAAAAATAATTTACAGTTCATTATATACAGCTCATGTTACTGTTATAATCTTATATATTAAAAACATTTATGGAAACTCAAGTCAGTCTGGCCGTTCTATCCGACCGATTTCCTTCATTTTTATTTTTTTTAAATGAAAGGTATTTAGACACAGATATGTCATTAATCATTGAAATTTACTCAACTCCCACCAACCTGATTCTTCCCTGTACATTTCTTATGGGACACATTCACTCAATCAATTCGAATTCTCATAGCTCCTCTTCTAACAAATTGATATTGATCATTTTTTTCTCAGAACACTCAGTGAATCAAGTTCTTTCTTTTGAGCTATTAACTGCTTAAATTCGTTGAGTTTGAGGGAAGTTATGAGTGCACAATTAAATTTACATTTAATTTTTTCAAAGTTTTTCAGTATTTTCTTTCACTAACCTCTATAACTAGAGTTCTAATAAACGTAGGCTGTTGACACAAGTCTAATAAAACTTAGTGGATCAATTTCATTCTTTTAAGCCATTAACTGCTTAAATTCGTTGAGCTTGAGAAAAGTTATATGCGCACAATCAACTTTACTTTCAATTTTTCCAAATACTGCATTCTCATTGGCCCTTACCCAATGCTATAACAACAAACAACTTACAAACAATACTAATATTAACTTATATTGTCTGGAAGGAAGCACTGTAAAATGATTTTATGTATTAATTACACCCTCTCACACATAGTTTATCCTAATAATGCGGAACATATATTTTAATAAACACTCTGTCATTTCGATATGTGTTTCAATTTTCGATATTATACTCATTTATTGATTTGTGAAAATGTGTTTACGTATTGATTCGATTGCACCTATACTTTTTATTATATAAATAAATTATTGTCTATAATCTATTGCGAACTTTCGACCCCCCCCCTCCCCTCAAATACGCACTTGGTATAAAAATATAAAAATATCGTGAGGTATAACAAACAAAACGGAATTTAGAAGGGAAAAAACGTATCTAATGAATATTGGTATTCATATTAAAAAATGCAAACCTATTCAAGTAAGTTTGCATAAAACTGATGGAAAAAAAAACAATTTTTTAAAAATATTATCTTATTTTATAGCATATTACTACCAATGACTATGCAGTAAATAATTTAAAACTAATGATAGTATGCCTTTAGTACGCCATTAGTATTTAAAGTGAATCACATTTATTAGGTCTTCTTTTCCTCTGATATTATCGTTCTAAATTTAATTTACATTACTTTATTAGGTCAAATATAATTAATCTAAAAAATTTAAAAATTCTATTGGAAGATAAAAGTATATAAAATAACTGGATATTAGATTTTTTTTTTTCATACCTATTGTATAAAGATATAAACATATAATATATTTTTGCTTAGCACGACGATATAAATGATGTAACTGCTAAAATCATGAAATATTAATATTTAAAATAAGTTTCAAGACTTATTTTTTTTTTTACAAAAATCGCTTACGAAAAATATAATTAAAAATAAAATAAAATACAAAAAAAAATGCAGTATAGTGTACCTATAGTTAATAAATATAGTATAACCATTTGTTTCTGACGTTAATAAATAGTGCCGGTAAATTAACTACTCAAAATATATTTTATTAAATTGAAACGGATGATTTATCTATTTTATTTTCAAGTTATAAAACTTGAAAATAAAACCGTTAAAACAAGTTATAAAGCATCGCTGACAAAACTTTATTTTGTAATTAATGTGACGGATATTTGTACCTATAGATTTAAGAATTTATTTATCATCCATGTACTATATAATTTTATTTATATATATATATATTATTTACGTACCATAATACATACACAGATATTTATTAAAATAACAATATCACTTCTCTTTCTTCTCCTTCGCCTTTCTCCCATTTGGGGTCGATTTTCTACATCCCCTACGTATACAGTAACAGCCCTCATATCATTCTCAATTATATCCAACTATTTTTTTTTTTTGTTTTCTTCTTCCTTTTTTCCCTTAACGTTCATTTTCATAACCGTAGTAAAATAAAATAAAATAATATTACTAAAATTATTGATATTAAGTGTAAAACTTTACTATCACAAACAAAATTTAATGACTATGTTTAAATGTTATCTTTAAGAACGATATTGTTTTTTTTAGGATTTTTGGTGCGATGGTTATTTAAATAATGCATCAGTTGTACTGCGTTTTTGAGTATGCTCATTGAAGAAATATTTAGAAACGATACCTTCCATAACGACAGTATAAGGTAAAAATATTTCATAATAATTGTTATTATTATTATTATTATTATTATTGTTTTTATAACTACTAAACACTTGTCAGAGGTGATGAAAAAAAAAATTAAGTGCGTAAGTGCCGTAGCCGACGCATGACACGTCTATGTACACAAGTATCCAAACGTTATCATTGACAATGAGAAGAATAATATACCAAATGTGACAACTCTAAAATATCCTGTTAGTAATTTATAACTCCAATGCACGTGTACCTATTTTACTACTTTCGTGTATGCGACAACACAATTTATCGTTTCGAATTGCATAGTATCGTATTGTGTTGTCCTACGATCGATAGCTAGTTTGTATTTTTTTTTTTTTTTGTCCCTGAAAACCTAGAAAATATTATTATTATTTTCTAAATTTAAACCTACGTATATTCAAATCCAAGAAAGATCAAACAGAGGGTTAGAGCCTTTTTCGTATATACATTATACATTATGTTATATTGTTAAATTGCATGTAAATATCTTAATATTCTATACTTAAATGTACTATCGAATTAATCAAATAACTTTAAACGTTAAAAATTTGTTTACAAGAATCATAATTCATATTCAAATATCAGTTTCATGACTAAAATTAAATTATTGCCCCGTTAATTTTCAAATCATAATTGTATAGAAAACGCACATTTCTTGTCTTACAATTTAATACGGCACTTACACAACTCACATCATCAATACATACACATTAATTACAAATAATAATAAAAAAATCATTAATGTTAATACATTTTTAACTATAAAAATTAACTAAATTAATATAATTAATATAATAAATATATTATCACCGTTAACTTTAATATCAATCACATAGATGATCACCTTTTATAGTTGTTTTAACAATTTTTCTCTTCTAGCCACAGCAGCAGTAACCAGGACCTGTGGGGACCGAAAAGAGATCCATTACCAGTAGTCGTACCCGTGACACTAATCTACACGTTGATATTCATCTCGGGCATCGTGGGAAACGTGAGCACGTGCATAGTGATCGCCCGGAACAAGTATATGCACACGGCCACCAATTACTATCTTTTCAGTCTCGCCGTGTCTGACCTGCTGCTCTTGTTGTCTGGACTACCGCAGGAAATCTACCAAACATGGTCCAGGTAACGGTATACGTTCAACGATAGGATACATTACATAACATCACATCGAGCCGTCGTACGATTAAATTGATTTACCGTAAACCGTTTCGACATACCCAAGATGTTAATACAAGTACATCATAACAATAATAGCGTAAATACGTCTGTTTCAAAATAAAAATTAAATTAAAATAAAAATCAAATACCAAAATCGTACAGGATAATGTATTACACTGCACATCAACATAACATTACTCGTATATTATACTCGGTACTCGTACGTATCTCGAAGATCTTACGATTTTACAAAACGAAATTACATTTACATATTAATACGCCAAATTTTCGTAGAACATATACAATGCATATTATATTATTCAAACATTATCTTGAAATAAATTCTGAACTTATTTTCATTAACCAATTCATACGTTAAAATATACATATTAGATTACTTTCGAGTAAACCCATTAAATTTTAAGTTTTACATTTACATTTATATTATATTTACATTTATATTTATATTATAATCTTATTATAAATTTATTTTACTATTATTATACATATACATAATATTTCATCCAATCAAATCGTTTTGTATAATTAAGCCATATTTTCGAAAAGTTTTTGAACGCATCAATTATATTAGAAACAAACTTCCTTTGGCTTGGACATTAGAAAACCATAAAACTGTTTTTGCCTATAATCATTAGGATGTGGTAAAAATATTGTTAAATATATTACCAATGCATCCTTAATTGACTTCTATAAACTTTACCAGATATTAGACTCTCCTAATATTTATGTTCCAAATACTACAACTGTAATATGTATATTTTATATACTTACGTAAAACCTAAAAAATATTTTTCAGTTTAAAGTCAGACCGGTGTTCATAGGTGTTCTTGCTCTAATTTTTATCACTAATTTTGTTTTTAACTTATTACTGTAATATTAAATGTATTTATTCTCTCTTGTGTTCATAATATGACGTATACATAATTGTATACTTATGAAAATTTAAACGATTACTAAGACAAATATTCAAATGCATTAGAAATTTGGATTAGTTAATATTAACATTTAAAAAATTCGATTATATAACTTATTTTAGTGTTAGGTATAATAACATTTGACTTGTGTCGAAAAAACCATTCAGAAAAATGAAAAAAAAAAGTTAAAATAAATTTAGAACCCGAGGTAGATATATATATATAAATTACGCTTGAAATATACTAACCAATATTATAACATTGCAACGGAAAATAAAATGTGTATGAACTCTTTAGAAATACAAAAAATTAATTCAAGGAATGAGTACTTTTATTGTAAAGTATAGTAATTTCGTATAAGCACAATATCGAATATAAAGACAATTATAATTTACTAATACTATTATCATACTATAATAATAAGAGCTCGGGTATTTATGTACTTAAAATTACTGTAATATATATATATATATATATATACATTTATGCACTAAGAAACTACCAAAATTGGATTCAAAATATGCACAAAAAAAATAAACTATGCATTTTAACTAAAAATATCAAAGTATGCAGAATTGTCTTTAATATTTAGTATTAAAAATTAAAAGTGCATTATAATTAATAAGTTTTTAATTTTTAACAGTTATTTTCTTTATATTTTTAATATAATCATATTAGTATATTATATACTAATTTACAATATGAGTGTTACATCATGATACAGTGTTTTTATAATTTGATGTTTGATTTAATTTTTAATTTGAATATTTCGGACAATCAAAATTATACGAGTTGACAATTTATCATTTATCTACTTGATAATCTAAATTTTTTTTAGAAAAGTTCGAAAATTTACTGAAATATACGTTTATATTTTAAATTCTCAAAAATATGCAAATTAAAAAATAATACTATTTAATTCAATAAAAAATAAATCAAATTTATATCCTAGCCCGCATTGAATTAAATCCATAGAAAAAATATGCAATTTAATAAACATCTGAGCCCTAATAATAACAATATTTTACATTTTATTTAATAAAATTTAATAAATTATTTGAATTTATACTAAATTTAAATTTAAAAAATTTATTGATATTAAGGCAAGTAGTCTTATCATTGTTTTAAATAATAAATACACAATTAACAATTAATAAAAATTAATATATACACACATAACCTTTACATTTTTTAATTAATTTAACAATAACTTAGATATAACTAGTGAAATTATATTAATGCGTACAGATATGAATAATACACATTATTTAGCTAGGTATATACTTTTAAGGGAAGATATGATTTTCTTATAGAAAATGCTTTAAGAATAACAAATAATAATGAACAAGAAAAAAAATGTTTAGAACGAAGCTAACTAGATCTAGTGTTATTATATGAAGATAAAATATATTTGTTCTTGACCGAGAAAAGCTTATAAAACAGTGCCTTTGAGACACATTGCATTATTTTTTTTATATATATAATTGTGTGTAATGTAATACAAGTTGGAAATATTTTTGTTTCTTTCGCGAAAATAACTACCATGTTTTTAAATGTAATAAAATCATCACATGCGTTTATATAAGGTCTGTATATGTAGGTGTGAGGATGAATCTGTCTCTTTTTTCCTCTGGGAGAGTGAGTGGGTATAAAAAGATAGTTAAAAAATGTATCCACGTGTCTTTCCGATGACGTATAATGAATACATTAATAAAACAATATCCGCTTTAAGTTTAAAATAAAGACCCAGATTTGGCGTCTCGTAGACTGTAGTGACTATAAAATAAAATAAGAACGTAATTTATGTCAATGGAATATAAAGTTGAATAGGTATATTATTTCAATCATCATAAGACGTAAAATATATTTTGAATTAAGACACAAAGGTATGGTCCGTTTATATTTTTATTAAAAAAACAAATAACGATTTGTAACGATTTTCTCATGACACAACCCAGAACGAAAAATATCGGATAGGAAAGAGCGATCGAAATATATTATATTGCGTTTCAATATTGTTTATTTTTCAAAACTTAAACGAAAATTAATTCATCAATTGATGGGTGTAAATAATGCAAAGTTATTAATTGGTAGGTAAATGTGTTCTATCATACGCAATTACGAAATGATAAACAAATTGACATTTATTTGTAATGTAATAATAAATGTCTACTTGTTCATCCTTGATAATAAGTGATTACTAAATAAGTTTTATAAAATAAACAATGAATATTATCAAGTATAATAAATATATAGTTGCATAATTTCCACACAATTTTTATACATCTGTCATAATTCATTAGTTGAATACTATGATATCAAAACAAAATTACTACACACTATAATACTTATTTATATATGTTTGGTTCTTTTAAATTTGTTTTATTAAATCCGCTAAATTTAAATTTTTAGATTTTAACCTATAACCAAACGTTGGTCTTTGTATTAGATTCTTTTTTTTTTTAATTTTATTTATTAAAATATAATTTTATCGATGGAGGTTTACAATATATATGTGATGTGATAAGAAAAAAATTATATACAGAGTGTTTCTAGAATGGATGAAGGCACTAGTATACGAGTACTCGCTGTGAAGGCTCAAAGTAAATTTTTTTTCAATTTTTTTTCAATCTCCAAAATCTTGGTTTATTCATTTTATTTTTAAGACATTACCTTAAATGTAAAAATAAACACTTTAGTTGTATTTTTTGCAAAATTATCATAAGAATAGAGACGTCACACTCAGTGCCACAACTACACACTATGGGGCAAATCTGAATTTGGGGCCTAAATATTTTTTCAAAAAAGTATTTACTTACTATAAATAAAATATGTTAACCGGTGTTTATATTATGGAAGGTAGTGGATTTTTAATTTTAAATGATCTTCATTAGTGTAGACCTGCATTATTTTCTGCTATTTTCGTTCTAAGAATTAGTATTACCATAGGGTTATAAATACTTTAGTAATATAATAGCATTTATAATCAACGGCATTACATTTGGTCATTGGCAACGAATTAGTAATTGGGTATGTTATTTGATTATAAATATTTAATAATATGATAAATCTGTTTTTTATATTTATCAATTTACTTCAGTTAAAATACTTTTTTTTTTGTGGGGGGAGGGGGACGCTGGAAAATTTTTGATTCTCAAAGTGGGTGGTGGATGAAATAAGTTTGAGAACCTGTAGTCTAAACAAAGTAATTAGTTAAAGTAAGCCCACATGGAACTTTGGTGATGTTAACACAGACGCAAAATTACTGACAACGTTTAATTATATATTAAATGTACATCACTGTATTAATTTTATAGTATGAAATACCAAAAATTACCATAACATAAATTTTATTTGAGTTTATTTATCAGATTAATATAGTTATGAAGAGCAAAACCTTATTCGTTTGAAAACTCGTAACACACTTTTGCCGACACTGCACACTCCTGATTATAATGTAGTCCGAGTGAAATTATCTTAAAACTATGTTTATTGACATGACCTCCTCGATCATGATTTGCAAAGGATTTTGTAACATCGTAAATCAAGAGTTAATCTATTCTTAAAAATATAAGTCATATCCAAGGCTTACATAATATAATATATTAATTCAACGATATCACATAATTATTGCATTGCGTAATACGATTTATGTGTTGTACACCAATTAATATACCCTAAGTTTATTCGAATTTTTACTGCCGTTTTTGAAAGTCGACTTTATTATTTTTGATTATTTTTGAGCCGTCATTACAACAACTGTTTTGTAAATATTATAATATAATACACCCTCCGGTGCATGGCGTGTTTTAAATTACTCAATACGAGTAGCCGTGAAAGTGGCTGCACGTCCTTCCCTACGGATCATTCCACAATTATAACTATAAAACGACTATTATATACTTTGCGACAATATAATTCCATGTAAAATCGATTATCTATAGTATCTTGCGATCGGATGATGATGGTTAAATACATTATGTTTATATCACGTAAGTTATGAATGCTGAAAATGTAAAAAGATGTGTGACGAAAAACGTGTGTACGATTAAATTCCGTTAACGACAATAGAGACTTCACACAACATAATTTTCTAATTATAAAATGTACGAATTTATAGTATTATGTTATATCGATTGTTATTTGCTTCTGTAATACAGTTTTCCGAGATCCGTTCGCTTTAAATTTCTCAACCTTCGAATTCATTATTATACCCCGCGGTCATTTAAAAAGTTTAAGAAATAACATTTCCGATGGATGCTAAGGGACTAGAATAAAAATTCGGTTGGTCAATTCTTATTTGTTGGTTAATAAATATAAGATATAGTGACTTAATGACGTTTTATAAATAAAGTCTATTAGATCCAAATTATCGACAGGGACGGCATACGTGGTATTTACTACAAACGAAATCTATTTTTTCATTTATTATTCAAAAGAATTATCGCTGACGAGGTAATTTTATGAGCTATATATTACATGATATTACAAAAAAAATACGTTATTTATATTTATTTTTTACTAAATATATGAATATGTTCGAACGTCATATAAGCTGAAAATTGTTCATATAGTGATAATATTATAATATTGCATGCCACGCTCTCTACGAATCTTTAACGTTATGTGATATATTTTTAATGGAAAATTATGATACTACCCTGATTTTTTTTTTTTTACTAATATCATGTACTAGCTATTCTTAACCTGTGGCCCGTAGCCTCCTGGGGTCTGCAATACACATACTCATACTCATTACTGTATATTATATAGTGATCATGAGTATTACCTTCTGAATACCTAACTATTATAGCATAGAAACATTACGAAATTAATTGTAAAAGAATAATGAATGATAATTATAGAACGCAGTCTAACGTAATACATTTGTGTGTAATTTAGTGTATCATTTCAATGCTGATCTTAAAATGTTGTGATTTTTGTGTTTTTCTTTTTCTAGATATCCCTATGTTTTCGGAGAAATGTTTTGCATAATCAGAGGGTTCGCTGCGGAGACATCGACGAACGCTACAGTATTGACGATTACGGCATTTACCATCGAAAGATACGTTGCAATTTGTCATCCGTTTCTATCGCACACAGAATCCAACCTTTCCAGAGCATTTAAATACATATTAATAATTTGGATGGTGGCTTTGACACTTGCTTTTCCTCAGGTGAGTAGTATTCTGATGTCGTTATAATATGAATTACTAATTCACTACCACTAAGCTAAGTTTAATTACTTAATAAACCGTTTTTCCGCACAATTTTCATTATATATCTGTACATACGCATCTATACCACGTGGCCTGACCATAGTTCGTGATGTTTGCTTGTTATCTTCGCGACATAACTGTCCATTCCTGTTCAGACCGCGTCGGCAAACACTCGTTACGGTCGTTCTGCCGAGAGACATTGAAACACACTCGAGAAATATCTATACAAAGGATATAGGACATAAGATGTATAAGTAGACATAGTAGTAATAATAGGAAATACAGAATTGATATTTTAACTCATCGAAACGGATATATCTATAGGACATTAACGAACCACGTCAATGCCGCTTATTTAGGCAAACACACAAATCTAGTTTAGGTTTTTTAACAAGCTTTACTATATAATTCTAACGCATTATCTGAAGCCGAAAATCGCTTCTAGATTTAAAATTTAGTATTTTTTAGTATTTTTCGGACCATGCTATAGTAGTATTATTATTAACAACAATTGTATAATATTCACTTCGAGCTTCGTACGATGACGGAGCTGGTGCCAAAGATGTACTTTACTAATCTAGTCATTACTGCCATATAATTCATGTATCGGACAACGATTATTTCCTATCATCTTTGCACAATATTTATGTGTATGACGTCATCGGTGAGTTATAACGCAAATCTCGCGTATTTGATCTGTTTTTCGCTTGTTAAAAAACTCCTGAAATTTGCAATTTTAAAACTTATTAAACATATACAATTATTTAAATCATACGTCTCTTGTCCGCACTGCATTATGATATAATATAATAGCGACCCCTACATTTTATTTTCATTAAATCAGCGATATGTATTCCCTAAATATGTACTGTATATTCAATTATTTTTCGAGCGTGTCCTGTAGATAATAATAATAAAAAAATAAATGTGCCTACGATTCGAAATAATTTTTATTTTTCGATCCTGTACAAGCTTTTACAGCTGTCATATGGTAAACTCACTATCACTCTTCAGTACCGCCAAACGGAAAACAAAAATTAAGCTGTGAAATGATATAAATGATTCGTAATATTATTTATTTATCAACGCAGGAGAAAACAATACATAGAGGACAATACACTGTACTAACAACGTTTCGAAACCATTTCAGTTTTCAACATGTCTCGTTTGAAGTACATAAACATATTATTTATTCATATTTAACGCATGGAAAGAAAAGAAACACGACTGGGAACTAATCTGCGGTAATCAGATCACCTTAAGGCTAATCGGTTAAAACTAAAGGTCTCTATTTCATGTGAAATTAAATGCACGGATACACGTGAAATTATAATTCAGGTATGCAATCACGTAAAATATATTAACGGGAATTTGTGAATTTAATTACACTTGAATAATTTAATTTAATTTCACACGAGTCTTTAAGTTCGAGAGCTCTAGTTTAAAACACCATGTCCAATATCCCATTTCGAAAAAAACAATTATAATATCTATATTTATTGTTTGAGTGTTTCAATACTGATAAATTATTATAATTAATCCCAATAAAATAAATATTGCACAAGTCTTATGTGTTGGTAGCTTTAGAACTATTAAAAAAAAAAAATTAAACATGTTACAGTATGTAACAGTCTTCATTTATTTCATCCGTTAAATACAGTTGCTGTCTCTTGGGATTGCTTTGCATCGGAAAATTTTCTCAATGACTCAAACTAAATTAATAAAATATGTCGATTGTTATTGAAATATATTCACGGTTTTTAAAATAAAAGTCTAAAAAGTCTACATTAACCAAAATAAAGAAACAACGCTTGGCGGTTTATTTAACGTTTAAGAACTAAAACTATGTAGTTTTTCTATGTTATTCATAAATTACACAGACAGTGGTGGTCTCAACTTTGTTTCTAATTTTATCCACAGGATCTGATTGTTTCGTTAAGACGAGGCATGAACCATTTAAAACCTTCACAGTTTATGCATCAAAACAAACATTTTTCTACTTATTATTTTATAAGACGACAAAAACTCACATCGTCTAGTGATCCCAAATCGAAATACAATACTTAAATCTCTAATTATAAATACGAAATATGTATGAAACACCACCAAAGTTTGAGCGTATCTGAAGTTGTTATGTTGGCAGTGAAGTTAGTAGTGATATTGGCATATGATTGTTGTTGATTCTGGTTTGAATTCAGAATAACATAACTTGTAAGTGGTATAGTGAAATTGGGAGCGAAACGATGATGAAGTTTGTCTATTTGATATTTTCGGTGGTTTACCATAAGTTTTTTAAACACCAAACATCCTTTATATGAGGCTATGTGTAGTCCTGCTTATAAGGGCACACTTGGTAGGTACTGACGGTGATTTAATGTATTCTGAAGTATAGTGGTTGTCTTCACATTTGACACATCAAGGAAACAAAAATAACTTTTGCGAAAGTAGACTTGACAATCATGGCATTGTAGGAGAGTAAATTTTTTTCTTTGGTAACTCTATTTTAATTTTAGTGTGAAGAAGCAAATCAGATTTGAAAATATTACTATTGTTATCTATTAAACTCGCTTGAATATATTTAAAAGTAATGGACTGGTGGAGAAACCTAATTAATATGACGTATAATTTCAAGTATATAAATATGAGTGAAATTCGATCAGCTCATTATCGTTTAGATATTTATAAACTAAATTATAATTAGTTACGACGTTGGTATGAATGATTAGGTGATTTATAGTATTTTTAAAATATATACTCAATGTGCTGACATGATCAAGTAATGTTTTTTTGAAAGTTCAAAATTCGAAAACTTTACTTAAATAAAATGGATAAAATAGACAATTTACTTGGAGAAGATTGCACGCAGATGGGCTGTTTGTTGCATAAATCTTGTTATAATATTGCGATGGGTAGAGCCAGTAGAAGACTAAACACACTAGTTGTAAGAGGACTAACATCTGATAAAATGCAGTGTCTAGAGAGCGCGATTTGGTGTGACAAATACCAAGCTTTATTTGTCATTGATTTTCATAGGCAAATATAATGATGATGATGATGCTAAATTGCGTTGAGAAATATTCCAAGACAGATTAGGATTTACAATAATTTAATCAAACTCGTTAGTGAAATAGAAAATATGATGACGAACAAGCGCAATTATCGCTTGCTCTTTTTGAATGATCGATGATTACTAGCCTCTTTCGTTACACATTTACTAAACAACTACGATAGATCCGACGTGTGGTAAATAAAAGACTACAAAAATTACAGTTTTATAATATTCATGAATTTTTAAAAGTATATTTATGAAAAATTTGTATACAAATGACTATGTGATTTAAAACTAATTTACTTTTATTATTATTATTATTATTAATAATGTTATTGTTATTATAAACGTTATAGCTCATAAAATTATATACGATTTACATATAATATGCGTATACATTTTTTTACTTATATTAGATCTCAACCATTCTTGTGTCACTGGGTGTAGGAAAACCAAAGGACATGTGTGTATAATAATAAAGAACGTTTTATGTTCCCAACATCGAGATCCGTGAGGTAGACACAATTTTCGCCTAAGTTCTCCACTGCAAAATTTATATCTCGTAATTATTATTATTCACCGACTAACGTAATATAACACCTATGGTGTAATAATTTAGTAAATGGTCACTTTGTACTGTCCATTGTTTAAAATGCAGAATGCGGACACTTAGTACGGTCTGGTAAAAAGGTATATTGCAGAACGCGGACACTTTATACGGTCGGGTAAAAAGGTACTTTGCAGAACGCGGACACTTTGTACTATTATATACATAAAGTATATATTATAAGTATAAGTTTTATACCTAAGTAGTAACTAATAATTATGTATAGTGTTAATTATTAAAATAGAAAAAATAAAAATAAAATTGTTATAAAATATTGATTGTATAATAATAATCTAAAAAAACAAATAATAATATCATTCTATCATCAAACTACATGTAAAAATGTGTAAATAATTATTAGTTACAACTTAGGTATAAAACTTATATTTATAATATATACTTCATGTATATAACATAATAGTACTAAGTGTCCGCGTTCTGAAATGTACCTTTTTACCGGACCGTACAAAGTGTCCGCGTTTTGCACTTTTAATGTCTGACCGTACAAAGTCACTTAGAACCTAATAATTTAATTGTTCCATTTGTTTAAAGGTCAAGTGAGCTGACAACTACTATATAAAGCTGTTAAATAGAGTACATTGAATTATTTTCATTAATAAATATTGTTCGACGAAAACAGCTCCGAATGTTATAATTTTCAAAATACTTGATGTCATTTAATATATAATTATCAAATAAAAAACGAAAAAGATTAATATTTTTTTATGGTAAATTCTCTGGTATATAAGAAGATTTTAAATTGAGTAACAAAAGAAAAACGGTCCAAATGATTGATTTTTAACTGTAAATAATTTTATTTTTAAAAAATTTTAATTTAACGAATAAAAAAATTGAAATTTTTTCAAAATACATATTAGGTTATAGTGTTAGGGAAATTGAGTTTTATCAATTATTAAAAAAAAAAAACTAATACCAAGAATCATCAATTAAACCGATGATAATTAATTATTGTACTGAATGTAATTTTTTATTCAAGCCGAGGTACTTGTTGAGATAATCGAAATATTGTTAGTTTACGTCTATTTGAAAATAACAGGGGTCCATTATTTCAGTTCATCATTATTTGTTGAGCTAATCTTTTTTATAACATCATCAAATCGCAAATTAGCTATAAACCATACCATGTTGGTTTATATGTTTCTAAGTTTTATGTTTATACCCATCTGTTATAAATCATTCATTAGTTGCATGACATACATCTCCAACGGATAGGTCAGGGTTAGTTGGGCTGAAAATAAACAAAGCTAATATAATAAAAATGAAATAAAGTATTTCACTTAT